CTCCACTGGCAGCGAGATATACATAGCTGACCTTCACCTCATCCCAGTTGAAATAATGATTGACCACGGGTGAAAGCACTGTTTCCAAACTCATCACGCAAAAGTAGGCCGAAAATACCATAACAAACATTGAGAGAACAGGGTAAGTTCGATAAACTTTCAGTTTAGCGCACTCATCTTCACAGCATCCTTTCTGCTTGCGCACCTTTGTCGTGTCATTAGGAACCAGTTCTTGTTTTTCAGGATTCACATCAGAGCCTAGGTGTGGAAGTTTCTTCACAATGGGATAAAATAAAATGATCAGTATGGTGTGAAGACACCAGAGACAAGCCATTAACAGTCCGGGACCGTTGTAGACGCTGAGTGTAAAATCTCCCATCGTCCAGTGGAGTTTGTGCATCAGAAGTGTGCATGCTGGACCAAACACTAGACCGATCTGTTTAAACACATAGGTAACAGCCACGTAGGGCGTCCTCTCTTTAACCGTGGTGGTTCTGGCCAGGTCGGCGTACATTGGTGTGTCGCAGCTTCCGCCAATCCCCGATATGAATCTTCCCACCAAAACCACCCAAGGTTGTTGGGCAATCAGGTAGGCCAGGTTACCCAGAATTTCTATCACATTCGCAAATATGATCAAATACCTTGTCTGTACTCCACGGTGGGCTGCATAACCGTAGAGTGGTGTAAACAGAAGCACGGAGAGACTAAAGGCAGCCATTGTAGCACCATAGAATTTTTTTGCTGTGTCCTCACACCAGTATGTGATAAAGTAAAGCCACATTGTGGGAAGAATGATGGCACGTTCAATATTTGTAAACAGTCCCCAGATCGCAGTTAGTGCAGTTATGGCATACTTTTTGGCTACCTTCGTTGAAGGACAACAACCTGGGCAACTTGGCAGGCATGGTCCGTCGCGGTCCGTGTCGTCCTTTTCATCCTCTGACATCCTGGTTTAAAACGGCTGTCTCTGGCGTTCTGGTGGTAAGCAACGGGTGCTTGTGCAAAAGGCATTGTTCCGATCCGCACACGCCAAGGCTAATTCATTTGACGCGCACGAATCGATTACTCGGAGCTCACGGTGATATGACAGCGCAACTACAGTCCGCGACCAATACGGTGAGCTGACGCTCCTCGGTAAGCTTTCATTGACTCTTGTGATTGGTCTTATATGTAGTTGACTTTTCACGTGTATGCCTTTGAAAGTGCCTTTAAGTTTAACTAAGTTTATAATTTTGACCTGAGCATACACATTAAGGGATTTTTCGAGTAGAGTTATACAAAAGTGCTTCGAGTTGGAACTTGGAGCACAAACAAATTTTGTGGCATGAAAGGTGGAAGCACGATTTGATGTGAAAAATAGCACATGCGATTGAAACGGTTTACTACATCAAATTGTGGCTAGCTGTATTGTTCGTACTTTTTAAGGGGAGTTCACCAGGGTGCTCAAACAGTTAAATAACGATATCTAAACGATCTACGAACCAGGAATACCAGCCTCTGTGTCATTATTTTTCTAAAATAAATGTTACTCTCATTAATTCCTTACTTAGCGACTTTGCACTAACTTACAGAAGCCTTGCCTTTTTCAATAAGATGGTAATTAGAAGCTATTCCCGAAATAGTACTCATCCTCAACTTATGTCGCTGTGCACAAGCATATGAGCGTAAAGACTAATATTTTAATTGTGCTTCAAGAGATTTTTCTTTGCAGCAAACACAAGATCATTCATTTGTACAAAATATGCTGATTTATTTCCTTCGACCTGATGGATTGCTTCGCAACCGGTAAAGAAAAACGCCAACAACTGATTTTAATTTTCCTTATTTCCCAAAGCCTTCATTTGCCAGGCAACTTCCTTGTACTAGTAGTATCCGACAGTTTTGTCTAATGTATGCTGAAAACCAAGCATAGATAAGTATTCATCAGATTTGTCTCGAAATTTTATATTTGAAATACACGCTGATGTAAACTGCACATTTTGCTTAATTCATTTTTTAAATATAACTCAAGTCAAAGGGCAAGCGTTTCTTTTTGGTGCATGTAACCTATGAAATACTTTATTTTCCACTGTGAATGGTTCCTGAAGAGAATTTCATTCTGAGAAGAAGAGGAATTTTCGAACACTGGAATAATCATTTTATTAGCCTGAG